TGCCGGATACATATCCAGATACACAGGTGCACTGAGTCAGTTAACTAAACATGGAGTCATCTCACGCTCCGTCCGTGACAGGTTGATGCAGAGTCTACAGGTTTAAATCCAACAGCTTTGGACACGAAGGCTTGGCTACTAAGAGCACAGTTTCCCCGGCTGCTATAAATGGAAAAACATGGAGCAATGCATTCAGGTCAACTTGGATGATCCAATCCTCTTCGAAGACACTCAGGTGAAGATTTGGAGTTGCTTCAACAGACTGACTTTCAAATCCTAGACATTTGGCAGGTGGTTGATGTTCCACAGACCTATCGATCCCCTAAGGCAGGATTCGTTCTCCTAAGAACAATGCACCTCCTCTGTCAGCTGTCAGGCCATGGTACAGAAGACGTCATCAACAAACTTCAGGGAGAAGGCCCGGCGACGATGTCTACCAATATATACTTTGAACTATACTTAGAGAACTTAATGTTTCCCACATTGCCTCTCCAGGACAACCTCTTGGTGGCGAAGGGCGGCAGCCAGAACGAGCCTGGCAGTCAGTGAGGGTGGCTCACATGTAGCCAAGTTCACACATGGTGGATCTTAAAGCATTCGATCCAGCTGGGGTCTTTTAGACAGCTACACTGCTGTTCACAATAGACATCAGGGTGCCGGGAAAATGAGTTGTTGTTCAATGTTGTCCAGGTGCAAGTCTTTCAAACCAAGCCGGATTCTTTGGTGCTTCTTTCTTATTTAACAGTAATTTGGACCAAACACACAGTGTGAGGGTAATTGGGTGGGAATAGTGCCCAATGCCGCTCTGGAAGTTGAAAGACGCAATCCATATGGCAACATCCAATCCAAGGACCTCTTAAAATTACACTTGGTCACTCTCTAGTTTCAGCATCTCACTGGGAACGATTAGAACATGGTCTTCTCAATGCAGGACTTCAGGACGACGAGTGATCAAGAATAACCTGAAACATGGGGATAGGCTCGCAGTTGTGATGTCCCATTGAACTCGCAGTCATTTTGCGCCCGTGGCAGGAAGAAGAAGATGAAGCCGTTCCGCTACCCCAAGACTACCGTTGATGCTGCCTCGGAGAGCCACCCACAAGGATTTGCTTCTGTCATGGATGCCTTTTCTTGGGCAAAGGTGTATTTGACCAGGTTATCGGATCGATTCGGACCGAGTTGGGTTGCTAAGCGCTTGAGACGGTGGTGTTGGACATTCTCGTCTTCATTTTCTGGGATTGGGGCACCAGAAACAGCCTTGACCTCAACTTAAGTGCATGTCTTTTTTGAGATGTAATGCTAATGTTTTGAACATAAGTCAAGTGTCTCCTCTACTCTTGACTATTCTTCCGTGAAACAGTCCAATCAACTTGAGGCCCTCAGAAGCCTGGAGACGGCAGCTCAGGAGTTCGTTCGCAAGCACCTACCTGGAAAGAGTCAGCTGAACCACAATGTTTTGTTCGAGTTCACTTGTGAAGTGGACGCCGGATGCCAGCAGGTTCTGGCTTCAACTTTCGGCTGCTGCAATGTCACTGATATCACTAAGTTCAGTGCTACCAGAACCCTTCAGTACTGCTCAACCCACAAGAAGATGTGCAAGGTAAGGAAGTTCATTTCGAAAAAGAGACGAAACTTGTTTGCAACATGAGGTTGACATGGAATTGGAACCAGTTTGCCTCAAGCTCACCAGTTTCCCTACCTCAACCGCCAAGGATTGCAGGTCAATGCTGCTGGTTTTGACCTCAGCGCCCATTCACAGTCACAGTATATATGACAAACAGGTCACTGGAGTCACTGGTGAATGGTGATTGATAGAATTCCTGCCTAGGTCCCGTGTGCACTTCGTTCAGCCGCATGGGTAAGATGCAGAGGGAAGCTTCTGCATTGTTTGCAACCCACGAAGCATACTACAGGGAAACCAAGCAATATGCGGACATCATGGTGATCGAAAACGTTCCAGAGTATTCACCAACCATTCCCAAAAAGCACTTGGGGGCACACTGGCGCCAAGAAAGCGTCGTGATTGATCCCAGAATTTTTGGGGTTGCAGCGGGAAGACCAAGAGTATACATTTTGACATGGAATACCCGTCGTGTAGTCTGGACATATGAGGGAACTTTGACAGACCTGATCGACTCACTCGCAGCGCGCGTCATCGGAAGCGCATCTGACTTTTGGTGGATGACACTGGGCCCTTCAAAACTCACACCTGCCGAGGCCAGGTTAACATTGAGTTACCATGGGTTAGCCATGAGTTAGCCAGGTCCTTATAAAGTTATCCTACAACCTGTTGTCTTTTGTCAGGCTGAGAACTTGATGGAATACCGGAAAGGCGGGAAGAAGGTTCTGTGCCCCGACCTGACACAATATGCTGCCAATGGGCGTGGACGTGGAGAGCTAAAATGCGGTAGCCTTCAAACATTGACAACAAATTCAGCTCGCATATTCCATGAGGAGAGAAATCATGCTAAGTGTTGACCCTTTTTTGTTCAGTGAACCATGTAAACCATGAGTCTCCAAGCCGCCCCACTCTTCGCACATCGCAGCAGGAGCACAAGCGCTTCCTGACAGGTCATGAGATGGTGAGTTCCCAGCTTTTGCCTGTAACTCCAGGTCAAGCCAGGAAATGCGGATCACCTAAGCTTGAACTCTCTTGTTTGAGCGAAAGGCAAATCGCTCGGGCTGCTGGCAATTCGATGTCAGCATCATGCGTTGGTGCCATTTTGCTTGCTGCTGTGCTAGCTTTGGACATGAAACCCACTGCTTGAAAGTTGCACGGGTTTAGACTGGCCATTAATTGAGGACCTGCAAACTCGCTTGAGGCCTTTGGAAAATATGTGTTTGCCTTCGTTCTTCATTTTGGATTGGTCATATTTTAATATGTACTATCAACATGTGACACCAGTAGCGCTGAGAAATTTTGGTTGGAGCTCGGCCTCATCAAAGATGGGGAAGCGTGCCACGGCGGCCCCGGATGATCGGAGCAAGAAGGACCTGAGAACCACGAGAGTTTGGGCAAGCCATGTCTATGAAGATGTAAAGAAGCTTTGTGGCAACATGTAGACATGACTTCGTGCTAGGCTACTAAACTTTAGAATCTTGTTTGAAAGACCTGTCCTTAGGAAAATCGAACTCCCCGTTGATGAGCACCCAGTCGAATGGCTTGTGGGATGTCTGAAGAAGAAAGACATCATGGAGCCATTGTTGACATGGCTCACAGAGTTAGACCCTGAATTTCCAGACCCAAGGACGTACAACTTCCCAGCTCCTCAGATAGATGGTCGCCTGTAGCATTTTTATTACTGTTACTTCTTATTGTTATATATAAAGAATAATTCATGAAGCGTCAACCCCTAGCCATAACTCATTCCTGCAGGCTTCAATGGACCATTTGACCGACATCGCTGACGTCCCTTTACTGGCTATGTGCTACACACGTCCATCTGACGGTCTCCCAATATTTCATTCTTGGGTCATGACCGCGAAGGACGTGCTCCATCGCGGGTTTGAGTCCTGGCGTTGCACAGCTGAAGTACGACCATCACTGGGGACCAAGCCTGAGGGACCCTACAACTTCGAATGTCTGGATTGCGTCAAAGGATTGGGGCGGTTGTCCATCATCCTGTTCGCAGTGGTTTACACCTACATGCATAAGCGTGATATGTCTGAAGAGATGCAAGCAGATTTTACAAGGCCCGGTAGTCAGATGAAAAGGGTCGCCCTAAAACCATCCAAAATCCCAAGGGTCCCAGGGTGATGGTTTGGGTGAAACCGTCGTCCTGGCTCTCCATCGCAGAATATCAATTATTGCACCCAGAATATCATAGGGTATTCCTTGTCCCGACCCAGGATATATATTATTAATATTCGATCGGCGGCGGAATATAATCCAACATATTCTGGGGTGCCAGAAATGGACCCAGAACACCCCACCCAGGGTGATGGTTTGGTCCAAACCGTCGTCCTAGAATCTTGGGAAACTTGGGCCCTCCCAGGGTGACGCTTATCTATTCATGGTCCAATTGAACACCACCCAAAATACTTCAGGAGGTAGGTGGAGCAAGCCTTCATCCGCCTGTTGATTGGCAGGTTCTTGAAGACGGTGAGGTTCATCAAGTGCAAGTTTGTTTCCACCTCAAGGGTTGATTGCTTGTGGCGACGGATGCAAACTCATGAACAAGAATCCGAGCGACAGCGGAAGACTTTGTTGCAAAAGGTCATGCTCTTCAAATCACGTGCAGATGAATTGGTGGTGGAGGACGGGCTTCATAGCAGACTTAGATGGGAAAACTTTTAAACTCGAGCCTGCCCGTTCACTCGTCAAAAGAGAAAACCTTCATGGTTACTTCTAGGAGAAGTTCAAAGTCTAGTCAGTCTAGTCCCAGTTTAGTCCCTTCCCGCCCATGTCCAAAGGACCGAGACCTTCAGCCCAAAGAAGCCTTTCTGAAGGCCATCGAAGAGTACAACTCCTACGAAGTGGCTGCCTTTGCAAAAAGATTCCAGATAGACTCTTCTACAGCAATCTTCATGTACGGATTTTCTGCCACTTGTCTTATTAACCAACTTGTCCGGACCATTGATTGGTTTCTGTCCCCCTATGACTTATGACCAATAATTGGTGTTCAATCTGACTTGTCCCTTTCTCTTGGGCTTGAACTGCTCTTTGAGGCTGGCATCTCACCGAAGTCCTGGACATTGCTCGAGACACACTTCCATGTGCACCGAGCTGACCAAGCAGGCCAGTCTGAGACACAAATAAACAACAAATTCCCCACTAGTGTGTGGAAACTATGGATAGACATTTGTAGACCGCGCCAAGCTATCTGTTGATACTTAATGAAACTGCATTGAGTCTGTCATATGTTGCTGTTCATTGATTGTCGTTCCTGGCCCTGCAGCATTCTCGAATGCAATGCTGCTTGACGGTCGCTTCCTGATCGGGGGGGCTGTCCAAAGACATCAGGGCCAGAAGGAGTCACACCTGGTCAGCCATATTGACTATGGACGCTGGCAAACAGGAGGGTTTCATCGAACGAATCCTGTTCTTGCACGAGATTTTGAACCGTCGCGGAAGCAAGGTTGTTTCTAGGCTCTCCATGCAAGATTGGGCTGCTGAATGTGATCGCATTTGCCTCTTGCATACCATCTACGCTGGTATGAAGAATGCCGTGGACGCCGACGGGAACAAGCTTTTCAACGAGGAGCTCGTGACATCTATTGGGGAACGCTGCGTGGAAGGGTTGCTTGTTGAAGCCATTGGAACCTATGTACTGTTCTTTTCTTTTAAGTTGATCTGGCCCAATGTTCTTTTCTTTTAAGTTTCTAGGGAAATATGTTTTGAAGACCATGTGCAATCATTTAAGACATTGAGGGACTTCAACGCGGAGATGGATGGGTACCTGGCAGTACTGGATGACGGTTTCAGAATTGAGGAGACAAACCTTTGGTTGGAGAATGTACCCAAGCCCAAGGAAACAGTGTCGACCAAGGTGGCTGCAACGGATGCAACAGTGGACAATTTGACTCTCAACGCCCGCAAAGCACAGTTCGATGCAGACTGCCTTTCTCTAGCTAGAGATGCAGCGCAGTTGGGTCAGCTCATGAAGGCGGTCTCCTCTTCGGAACAGGCAGCTCGCACTGAGAAGGTGATGCATTTGCGTCACCAGAACAGCATAGGGGCTGGCATAGTTGCTGAACACATGGCATCACATGTGGCAGTTCACAGCGGCAACATCAAAGACCAAGTAGCGCTCATTGACAGGGCCAGGGGTTTGGACCAAACATGCTTTCCAAACAAAGCCATGTCACTGTTCTGCGAAGAGTCAAGATTGTCATGTCACTAGTGTTCATCATCTTGTTTTGCTTATTGACGCCCCTGCAGTTCTTGACACGATTTCCTGACAATCCCGTCGTCATGATCCTAGACTTGATGAAGTGTGGGCGCTGCTCCAACGCAGAGCTCAACGAGTACACAGAGCTGCTTGCTCATGGATTGAAAAAACGGCCAAATACATCTGTGGCTTTTGTGGTGGCACCATGGTTGCTGTCTGACAAGGCTTCCCACTCTGGCTACAGAGGAGAGCTCAGGAGCCATGAGCTATTAAAGTTTGTTTTGTTTTAAACATGCCTGACTAGCGCTTTTGGCATGAGTTCTCAATAGTTTTTAGTCACACTTCTCGCTCATGGCAAGTAGATAGTGTTTTTGCATTCACCTATATTCACCTGCAGGCGGTGGGAGGACAAATTTGATGCTCGAGGGCTATGGAGTGAAGGAGTGGCCCTCAGGTGTCAGCAGCCGCCACGTTCTCGCAAAGTGCCATTGATTTTCAATTGCTGGGTCGTGTTCAGCGATGCTTGCATCAAAAGTGACGCTGGCAATTGTTTTATGCAGTGTCAGCTCTTGCAAGAAAGGCCCGGTTTCTACAAACATCCAAGGTAAGAAAATGGCAACTGTCCAGCGCGTCTACTCTTAAACACATGATGGTGTTAACACGACTCACTGTCTGTTTAGTATGTAAGAGCAAGATGCAATCATAAACACTTGACAATGATAATGACTGTCCGCCTGTCCTTGCAGGGCCACGCGCCAAGAGGTCGCTTGGCAGCCCGAGGGGAGCTACAAAGTGCCTGTTGCAGAGAAAGACGCGCTCCCGCATGCGAGCGAGGGCCAAAGGCAGGGGTGGTAAAACCTGCTGGGTGACAAAAAAGCATGTTAAACATCCCATCTGAGGTGGTACGGTTACTGTAAGTTGGAGTATGACCCATGACTACCCCATTTTTGGTGAGTCTGAGTGTAGTGCCGTGGTATGGCGCCATATCATTCCAACCCGGATTCGGAGGTCTTTGTCAGAGGTACAAGAGAGCGCCCAATTTTTGGTGCAAGATGCCATGGCAAAAGCTATCATGGAAAGTCTTCTCGCCAAAGCCGACTTGCCACATGAGACCATCGCTTTGATCAATCTTACTCCCTACGACGGGATGTTGGAGCGGGCTACACGTTCATGGCAAGAGTCCAACCCAGGCACCAACATCAACTTCAGGTCTTTAAGCATGACAAAGAACTTGAGCACTGCACAGTTCGTGGAGAAGACAGTAGCACTAGAGTTGCTTGAGGATGGGGTTGTAGTCTATTTTGACTGCTGTGCTTTAACTTTTAAACAAGTTTGGAATCACCACCAACTTACTTCAAGGTATAATCGTTATAATCCATCTTCGACCCACTCTTGAGAGGGGGTGGTAATTGTGAAGAGCCCGGCCCCTCTAGGAATGGAAGTCTGGACATGCTCGTTTCAAAGACGTCCGTGCATACGAGCCAAAGCCACCAGCACAAGCGCCCAACAGCAAGTTGGAGCTGTCATCCTACCCATTGCGGCTTGCAAAGGTGGAGTATGATGCCACGCCAGGCAAGCGTGGCTGGGAACGTTACAAGGTATCACTCCCAGCTTCCATTCGAGCCAGGCATGTGGAGGACGTTGTCCACGGAGCTGACTGGAAACAACTCCTGGAACAATTTGACTCAAGGTTTAATGACTCAAGTTTGCATGCCTTTTTAGTCTCAGAGTCATTTTTGGGTTGGCTGCTAAGTGGTTGGAGCACAGCGACCCAACCATCCCAATGCCCCAACCATCCCAATCTCCCAACTCTGCACTTGCACCTCAGGTTCCACTTGAGTGCGAAGTCTTTGGAGGTTGCACCTGCGGAGCCGGTCGAGCAAGAGGTCTTGGAACCATGGGACGAGCCTCTCACGATGGAGGACCTCCTTGACAAATACATTTTGGAAAGCAAGATGAGCGGTCGCGTGGCAAATACGACCCTGGTATTGACGAGGGCGAAGCAGCGCGATGGAACAGTGAGCCAAATTGTTGATGGTCAACAATTCAAGCTGTTTCTAGAGACTTGGCTTACTGTTGGTCTGGATCGAATTTCCAACCCGTCCAACTTTCGCGCGTGTCAATGGGAACAGGTATATGTCTTTCGCCCTTTAGCATTTTGGCCCAGGTCTCCTTCTCTGATGTCACCTTGGGGACTGGTGAGTTTCAAATTGCCCACGGTTCGAGCCGATTTATGAAAGAAGAAAAACTCCAAAAGATGAGGCTCCAGGAGAAACACAGTATCCCGGCCTGTCTTGTTTATTGAAACCCGTCTTGGAAATCAATTCTTTGCCAGTCGCTTGTTTGGTGTAAGTGACCGATTTGTGCTGTGATTTGCGCCTCTTCGTAAAGCAGCCAGCAGTATCTACCAGCTCCTGGCTCAAACCAATCACATAGTTCAAAGTGCACCAAGCGAGACCGACAAAAAGACCCATCGCCATGCCAAATCTAGAAGATCTTCTGGCAAGCCAAGGCTTTGACCAGGCCACTATTTGACACATGAAGTTGTTGCAAATCGTTTCCTCATCAAACCAAAAGCTAGTGAAATATGTGTTCGGACCCCACTTGAGGACTTCCAGAGATTGGCGGCAGAAAGCCCTGGTACAATTCAGACGCCGCCAAACAGAGCCAATTGCTCAGGTATTGGGAATCTTTGTCGTTCTTTTTGAACTCAATCTGATTCTAACATATTCTAACGACTAGTTTCTTTTCCGATTCTCAGGCGGCCTTGTTCAGCCCAGAGGGTGCTACATCTGAAGCCTCGGGGCAGAAAGTCCCACAGGCTTGTCGTGTTGGTGTCTTGAACACCGAATGCAAAAGATGATCATGTATATTACTAATGTTCATACTTCATTGTGACTTCATTGTATGATTCACACTCACGCCGGCTCCACTAACTGACACCCGCAGGAGAAAGGTGAACCTGAGATGCCAAAAGTCCCCCAAAAGCCCGAGATGCCGATGACAGTTCTGACCAGCAATGCCAAGTCCAATCCGAACATGAGCGAAGAGAGGAAGGCAGCGCTGCTGAGAGACATCAGCAATGCAAAACAAGATGCAAAGGACGCCAAAAAACAAGAGAAAAAAGAAGCAAAGGCAGCCAAGGAGGAGAAGCCTCAAGCAGGCAGAGTGGCGAAGGCCAAAGCAGGCAAAGGGAAAGGAAAGACAGCAAAGAAGCGTTCAGCACTTTCAGAAGAGGAATCTAATGCATTGGATTCAGAAGAACCTTTGTCTGATGATGAAGTATTGGATGACATCTCAGAGGATGAAGAGCTGAAGAAGAAGGAGGAATCCAACACAAAGCATGAAGAGGAGGCGTTGAAGAACGCCCCCAAGAATGAATCCAAAAAGAGTGAGCCCAAGAAGGTGGAACGCAAGAAGGATGAGACTAAGGCGGGCAAGAAAAAGGAAGCTAAGGCGGAGGAATCTGAGAACAACAAGAAGGTGGAACGCAAGAAGGATGAGCCTAAGGATGGAAAGAAGAAGGAAGTTAAGGCGGAGGAGCCTGAGAACGAATGCAAGAATCCTAAGGAGGGAAAGAAGAAGGAAGTTAAGTTGGCGGAGGAACCTGAGAAGAAAGAGAAGGTGGAACGCAAGAAGGATGAGCGTAAGGAGGGAAAGAAGGAGGAAGTTAATGTGGAGGAACGTGAGGAAAAAGGGCCGGATGATGATCAGACCACTGAGAAGCCAAAACAGAAGTCAAACAAGATTGGCCGGAAGGAATATTTGCAGCAAGAAGCATCCAGGCGGGATGATCCCCGGACCAATGAAAAGAAACAGCATGAGGACCAAAGCATGAAGAAGCCAAAGGACAACAAGAGGAAGAGTGAGCATGATGATGATGATGGTGATGCCAGCAATGGTAACAAGGCACCAAAGAAAGGTGATGAGCAGACGGCTGCTGATGATGGCAAAAGGAAGGCAAAAATGGATGCCACCACTGCCACCAACGTCAAGGCCAAGAAATCGAAGACACAAGAACCAAGGAAGAATGAGAAGGATGTGGAGAATGGCAGTGACGGAGATCAAGCGAGCAAGAAGAATCAAAAGGAGGGGCAAGGTAAGGCACAGGAATGTCATGAGGCCAGTGTCACAAACAAGAATGGCAGCAAAGCTGAGGAATCTGAGACTCGGGAAGTAAAGAATGAACATGATGATGATGATGATGATGAGAATGATGACAGTGACATTGACCATGCCTCTCGGGCTGAAGCTGCCAGTGAAGTGAAAAAGGGCGAGAACAAAAAGCCAGACACGCACTCGCTACGAACAGCCTGCCCCACATGTGGTCGGCTTTTGCCCAAGAGGGTCAGGAAAAGCAAGAAGGCAAAGGCAGCAAATGGTGAGGAAGGCGAAGAAAAGGAAGGTGAGAACGGTGGAAAGGCAGGAACATGACTGGCTAGGTCCACTGTCATATACACACTTGGATCATGGATCCAACTCCGTTCTAGTCTCCGTTCTTTCTGCCATGACATGGCAGGCAAAAGGTGGTGCACTTGGGCACGCTGGTCTCCGCAAGGACTACTGGGTCCACATGCAGGAAGCACGCGAGCGCTTGCAGCGTGAGAATCCGGGCGCATCCAAGCGTGAAGTGTTGAAGATGGCAGTGACAGAGTCCTAACCTCAAATTATGTTTTGAATGACATCCCACGTTTCCTTAATGAGAGTTGGTAACTGACAAGATCCCCCGAGGTGGAAGCAACATCCCCAGCGAGTGGCTTCCCTCAAGAACATGACCCACTCTGAGTTGTCCCGTCGCCGTCTAGTACCTTCCAAAAGGAAGGTCGTTGAGCCTCCGGCTGAGGGTGAGGTCCAGGAATCCGGTGCCGAAGAACCACTGCCCAGTCCTGAGCACAGGTCTCAGCCAGGTGAATCTGGGAAACCCGATGCCGAAGGACCTGAACACAGGTCTGAGCCAGGTGAATCTGGGGCTGACAGTGACACTCTAGTCTTGGGGGAGTGTCATCCATCCGATTCCGACTAGTACAGGAAGTCAGCCTCATTTTGATTCGAATGGGTCTGCCTATGACGTGCAACAGAAACCATATACTACTGACAGACTCAGACCTTTCTCAATCCTTGGTTTTGCTGCAAGACCCAAATTGTGTAAGAGGTTGTTCCAAACGCCAGGGGAATGGCGTTTGGGGAACATAGACGTGTGTTTGCGGTGAAAAAACATCTGGCGAACAAGTTCCGACCATGGTTACCTTGCCCCTTAAAAACCCTTGCCCCTTACAAACCCTTGGAATTGTTCATTATTGTTTGCTGCCAGGTGAGGTAAGTCGGACCTGCTATGCGCACTGGACAAGCGACCAAACACACGTCATCTTGGAGGTTTCTGAGGGTGACAAGAAAGCCACCAGCGACAGTGAACGCTGCTCGTGGCGTGAGCTGTTACATGAGCTGGAGGATAGCGGAATGACGGATGCCACAGTGAACAGCCATGATGTCAAACATGCTACTTCCAGCGGAGAAGGCCTGTTGTTTTTGTTCAACAAGCAACAGTCAACCAATAGAATCGTGGGGAAACAGCTGGTTTGGTCAGCAATTGTGGGATATTATCTGGAATGCCGTGACTTTATCAGGTGGTGAAGCAGCATACATCTTCAAACCAAAGCCGAATGCAATGGTCTTCGCCTACAACCCGCTGCCCAGTTATAAGTGGTCAACTGTTGCATCAGCTTTCACGATCAATGATCCTTGGACACAAAGCTTGCTGTCCTGAAAGCCCAATCGCCATGCCATGCGCAGCCATCTATTTCTAATCTAAGGAGCTTGATCAAAGCAGGGTCTTGGAACGATTGTGGCGAGTTTCATATCAGAAAGCAGCGAACGTTCCTTTGTCACACAATCCTTCAACTATGTCAGGCATTGACTGCTGTTTGTCACTGACAGTTAGATTGTGGTTGTTCACTGCTTTTGGACTCAGGAAGTTTCCCCACGAAGCTTGCATGAATACTAGCCAGATCTAGTATGTCAGCGTAAAGGATTTTGCTTGATGCGTGCAGGGTTTCCTTCCTCACAAACGATCCGATCCGATCCGAGGCAAACCGCTTTATTTCTTCCGACATGAGATGACCCTCAAATCAAATGTGGTGATGAGGCTTGTTTAGAGATGAGCGAACGGGCCTGAATGGTCCTGTCATTTTGTGATGTGTGAATGGGCCTGAATGGTCCAGACATTTTGTCGAGCCGAATCAATGCGGATGTGTAAAAAAAGATTGTGTGGGGCCAAATGGGTGGGTGACTGCCTGTGACTGCTTGCCTCCAAACCCATGCAGAACCTTTACAAAAAAACATGGAATCCTGATTGAGTTGAACTGACACCTGAACACCATGAAATCTACTTAAAGGCGTTTGGTCTGTCCACCTCGCAACAAAGACCCGCAACCGTGGCTTGGGGCCTGATACTCTGCAAAATGGAAGGCTTGTGCCTGCTTCAAGAACAAATGTCTTGCACCCAATCCTAAACCATCAGGTTCTCTTGCTTCCTTGCTCCACAGCAGCTTGTAGACTTCCACATCAACATCGTTGTGAGGCGGCCAGTCCCTCGTCAAGCTCAAGTCGGGATCCATGTTTGAACGGAGAGGACTCGTCGGCGAACTCGTTCGTGCTCCAGTTCGCGAAGCTCCGAAGATCCATCGCGTCGCCTCTTCCCAAAAGACGCAAAAAGAAGACTCTCTTCCACGGGTCACAAAGGGGTGGTGTTTGGTCCCTAAGTGAGTGGATAATGGGCACTCCTAACCTCCAATAGGCACCCCGTCTTGTGACTCCTGGTTGTTACGTCCGCAGTTCAAACATCGCCGTGAGGTGATGCGTCAATGTTGCGTCCTATTTCTTGGCCCAAGAGGTGGCCAAGTCCCTTGGACTAAGGACTCAGGAGTCACTAAGTCTGGCACATCCGATTGAGGGCGCTGTGAGATCTTTCTGCGCTGTTGGTCAACTCTCCTTCAACTGCTACATTCCATTCCGCCTGGTTCGGAAAGCCAAGACGCCATTCCGCGTTGCCTATGTGTCTCATGGTAAGCTAGGAACTGATCACTATCTCCAGAGTTTGCACCCCCAAAACCATCATGGCACGGATAAAGCTCAGTCTTTTCTTTCGCCAGAGACATACCAAACAAAGAGCGTTTTCGTTTAGCATGTCTTGCCAGCTCGGTTTGTCGAGATCGGTACCTAGTCCAGGGAAATGGGCAAC